AAGAGGTATTTTCAACTAGTGTTTACTTTGATTCACCATTGAATCACTAACCAGATGTTGTAAACCCTTACCTTACCTACTGTGATTCACTTTACGTTTATCTTCTCATTGTCCTATTCCTGATTCACATATGATTTTATTTTAATTACCCCGATAATGTTTTTTTAAAGTTGGTTGCAGTATTTTTTGTCTTCAAATATTCTACGGACCTTCAAATATTTTCATATTCTTTCTATTTATATCCCTTATGTTATCTATTTTTCCATCTGTTGCGAACTTTTTCTAAATCACTATAGATTGAGTACTTCGGCCACGCTCCTATGTCAAGTAGACCACTGCTACTAACGTAATTTCTTTTTAGGTACTTCAAGAAAGAGTATCCTTTCTCAGTGTGGGCAACAGAGAAGTAGAGATTGCCCATACATCAACTTTAACAAGGTTCGTGATAACCTTATTCATGATTAAAAACCGCTTCTGTTTATCAGCCTTCAGATATGAATATCCAACATTCTCTTATGTACATTATCATGTGAATTGTTCTATAAAATTTCAAAATGCAGTAGCATCATTGGAAACTGGAGTACGTTAAATAGTCCGTTGCGTTTACACTTCCAACTTCATGCATAATCGAACTTAATATATTTAAGTTTCATCTCAAGCATAATACCACTGATTTAGTTAGATTGCAATTACAGTTGATTTGTGATTTAATGTAATTTTCATCTTCAATCATTTTACTACTGTATTTCTAATTCATTAATATTATAAAATTTTCTAGAGGAATTTGCACAATTTCTTGGTAATGAAACTACTCGTCGTGGTGTATCCTGTGTATTTAATATGCTTCAAGAAGAACGTTTCAATCGTAGATTTGTGCATACAGTATTAGAATCATTTCTTTGTCAATTATTTCGACCATATCATGCACATTGGGAAGCTATTTATGAAAAAGATTTATGCCCATTAAAATGTGGTCGAATGTGTCGTTCACATAAATCATGTACTTAGATGAAATATATATATATATATATATATATATATATATATATATATATATATATATATATATATATATATATATATATATATATATATATATATATATATATATATACTACTTCTTGTTTGGGTAAAGAAATATGAAATGCATCCAGTGTACATGCGTTTAGTGATACAGTCTTATTATATACATTTATATTAATTAGAGGAATATTTAAAATCTGTTCACAGTTTTGTTGTTGAGTGTATAGATTAATTCTCCAGATACAGTCTCATTATCTGTTTATTCTGCTTGCTCTCTTCACCGTCATTCCCTGATTTGACTTTGTCTAGTATGTATTATAATATATTACTTACTAATATTCTTATGTTAACTGTTATGGAAAGAAATTCGTTGACTACATTATGGCATGTATAGACCCTATAGATGACTTAACAACTAAATGATATGAAATGTATTACTTACGTGTTCATGAATAACTCTCAGGGTCTATTTGCAATCGAATCGTTTTGATCTGATTCCTTGAATTGTATTGTTATATACAATTAAACTTATCATTCGTTTAACAAATAATAGTCTATATTAGCTGTGATCAATATTATTTCATATATATTCTGTTATAACTTACTCCCTAAATAACTCATATTATAGATCCATTGTATAGAGTGACTTATATACTTGTTTTTATTTTAATCTTCTTTCAATATTACTTATTATGTTGTATACGTTATAAGTCAATTTAGCCTATTTAACATCATTATCAATCGGTCAATTAATTCTCTTCACAATTCATCTTATTTCAATTGTCTGTTCAAGTTTTTCGAGAAGTATTATTTATAATATTTTTCTTTATATATAACAATTGATTATTCACAATTTATGATCTTAAATAATTTGTACAGTGTGTTGAATAGTTCCCGTTTCTTGGTTTCAATTATCAATCTGATTTTTGTTGACTTTGTGTATATGACTGCGGGGAGTGGGGTGAAAGGAAAGATGTTACGTCATCTGTTGTTTTAATTTTAATACATGTTATTTATTTGAATGAATATGTTAGTATTAGTTAGTATTCAATGGTTATTTTACCATAAAGACAATTGTTATTTTTCTTCTATTCAATATTATTTATTTATCTCATTGATTTATTCTTGTAGTATCTTTTAGTCAGTTGAATTAATATTTGACTACATGTGCAATAATAAAAATGTATTTTTAAAGATAAACTAAACATATCAAGACTTTTTTTTATTGAGTAATCAGAAATTCAGGATGGAATTATTTAGTTCTTGTTATATTTCTCTCACGGTTATAACCCAGCTATTCCTATTGCTTAGTATTCTCGAATACCGATTCACTCGACAAGTTCACAAATTAGAACACGGTTGAACAGAAAAAGCATTATATTCCAAATAACAAGGTTAGATGGAAGTAAGAAGCAAGCAAGCACAATAGGGAAAATCTTAGTATATTAATAGTTTTTACATGAGAAGATTCTAGAGTATCCTCCAAGTATCGACTAGTGCTGATTAGATAAAAATGAGCCAATCGGCGTGCATCAAAGCAGTCGTGCATTGAGCATGCTTTAATGTAGTCTATGTCCCGCTAACAGTTCCTTTGAATAGTGGGTAACTTTTGCTAAGTTTAAAATATTGATACCCCAGTGTTATACATAATCTTTTGGAATGTGAAAGTTAATCTACACGACAATTTAATCGTAAAAATTAACGTTTTAGTTTGTTTTGTTTTTCTGCACAGAAAATATAAACTGTACAAAGTAATGATTTTACTGCTGTTGCTCGTTTATGTTATCATCTGTTGATTAGAAAGTTATAAATTAGGCACCACTAAGATCAATTTTGATTCATTGATCGAAAAATTTCTAAACGGGGAATCCGAACCTCCCGACATTGCTTAGATCAACAGTTAATAATTGTCTGCACTGATGCCAGCTTGCTATGTTTCTAACCATCTTTTATTACAGACACGAATTGCTGGTAAGCTTGGCATATAATTAAGATTCCGTATATCTACCCTACTATCGACCATATCAACTATATAGAAACCAAAATTCTTTTTCAAATACTTAGTTCTACATAAAAGCATTTAAAAAATGTTATTTCGAAGCTAGATTGACAAACCCTCCAAATAGAAATTACTTCGACAATGGATTTTTTCGTAAACTTGATATATGTGGAAATGTTTAGTTATCTACAGATTTTTACCCATTACCTAGATTTAAATTCCTAACGACAACAGTTATTCATAATCAACATAGTCTGGCATAAATATGCCCTAGCTCAAGTTGCCTTACCATATCACTACAGCGAGAAGAAACTAACACGGTGAATGAAAATAGAGTCGAGATAATCATCTAAACGCTTTAGTTTTCTTAAATGACTTATAGGTACCATTTATTGTTCTGAATCTGGATGGCCAAAGACGCCTTGGTTGAGTGATTAATCTTGGGCTGTGGCCGGTCCAAGTATTCAATCCACAAAATAACAACAGACAAGCTCCTATCCTTGTTAAGTCAATCAGTCATTAACCTAAGCACTCATGAATAATCAGAGCACCATACAAATCAAATGGGAAGTTGCAGTTTATACATAACTAGCAGAGAACGGAACAAAAGGTGAATAATTAACTCACAGTAATTAAAGGATAGTAAAATGTATAGCAATAAGTGATGAGTCCAACGGGAGTTTACAATGCGGATAGTGCAGAAATAAAATGAGTTATTTAATAATTGTACAATAAAAATCTAGATAACAATTATCCGGGAAATAGTTCCAAAAGTCACCACTTTCCCAGCATTCCCTCAGTTACAACAATAGTAGCAGTATCAATTAAAGTGAGCAAGTGAAGAACATGGTCTGAGAAGTAATAGTGAGAACGTATGTAGGGACGGATACCGACACTGTCCAGAAGAAGATAAAGAACGAATGCATCTACAACGAGCTCTGTACCATTTCACTCACCCACTAATCGCAAGGTATGGGAATAAGATATAGGCCAAAAGAACTTGAATAAACACGAAAATAGGAGTTTATTCAGTTTTTGCAAGAGATAATTCTATTATTTTTTATAAGTCTACCAGCGTATGGTAGATCGACTGGTGAGGTTGTGAGTCACTACGTGTTACGTACACTCAACTAAGTCCTACCTTGAGGGGCGATATTAACTGGGGTAGTAGGGTAAAAAGAAACTGGGAATGGCCAAACCGAGACGTAGCATCAATCCATGCACTCACTAACTATTGCAGTCATGTTAGTAGATGTAGGCCAGCTGGTTTTGGGCATAGTCGATAGTTGGAAACGTCGTATGACATTGTTCAGTGCAATAGGTGCATTTACTCCTATGTCCCTCTAGATATTAAGTCCCAGTATTCTTTCATGCACACATTTTTATTGTTAGTTTTTGAAATATATTCTTTACTATTTAGTCTTGCTCACTATTATTGGTGGTATATTATTTCGACTACTTCGCTATTCATCTTGGTAATTTGTTTTTACTATACTGATCTTATTTGGTGTTTTGGGGAGATGTACGATTTGTACCTGATGTGTGACCAGAGAAAGTGAGATGTGACTGGGCATTAAATAAAGACAAAAACCATCGACTTTTTCTAAATGTTGTGATACTATTAAGCGTTGTGGATTCCTTTCTATGATTTAGTTCTACTGACTTAACTGTGGACTAAACTCTGTGTGAACTGCTAGCATCTATGTTAAACAGATGATTTTCTGGTCTGTTAGCTAATTTTCAGTTATTGATCGTGAATTCTATAGTTGGATATAACACACCAAGTCATAGTATTATCCTATTATATGCTGAGTATACAAAAATATTTTTTTCCGTAACAACAGCATCAGGTTCTGTATCCAATATAACCAAATGATTGTTAATTTTTTTATGGACAGTAGCGGGATATCTCTATATAAAACATAAAGGAAATTGATTAATTCAGTCTAATAACAAAATAATAAGAAATGGTATATATATAGTGTACATAGTATATTAAAACAATAATAAGTTGATATTTTATTTCACAAGAATTAAATAATTATTTCTGGACTTAACTACTAGAATCTGGTGATAAATCTGGTTCTTTAGAAGACGCTAAATTTGATTGATATATACGTAAATCTTCTTGATATTTCTTTTTTAATTCATCAACTCTTGATTGATAACTTGATTTTTCTGTACTATCCATATTTCGCCAAATCTCTCCAGCAGCTTTAGCTACTTCAGCAACAGAATTTTGTCCATCTAAATTTTTTGCAATTTTCTCTCTATTCTCATTAAACCATAAGAAATAAGCAGAAAGTGGACGAGTTGGTGCATTAGGATCTTTAGGTTTTTTTTGCTTTTTTGTTGTTTGTCGTTTTGTCTCATCTTTACGGGGTTTAGTTGTTGATTTCTTTGGTTCTTCTTTCAATTTTTTTTGTTTTGGTTTAGGTTCACTAGTACTGCTTACACTTGACAAGCTGTCTTCATATCCATCACTATCATTGTCTCGTTTATCTTTTTTCTTGTGTGTAGTAGTATTCTTACTACTAGTGTTACTTTTGTTCTCCTCCGAATCATCATCATCATCATCATCATCGTTGTCTCCAGATTCATCTTCACTTGTAGTTGTTTGAACATTACTATCATATTCTTCTGCAAGTTCAGAACCATCAGATTCCGGTGGTTTGAAATCTTCATCATCTTCATCGTCGTCATCTTCATCATCCATTTCAGTTGTTCGTTCTCGAGCTTCTGTCTTTACCTTCTCCATGTAAGCATCATGTGATTCATCAGATGATGACCAAACGTCATCACCAGGATTAGTAGTTTTGTTTTCTGAACTGATATTTTTAACACGAAGTTTTTTAGCAGTTACAAAATCGTACAAATGATGATATTCATCTCTTTCGATAGAGGTGAATGTATGCGTTAAACCATTACGAGTTTCCACCTATAAATAAAAAAGTATATCAAGACCTTTGATTTTTTTGAAGAAACATAAAAATTAGACACTAGTGAAATATCTTGATTAAATCGATTCTTTTAATGAGACGCGTTTTCGAAGAATGGATCAAAACCAACTTTCAGATAAACTACTCGGTTGATTGTACGAATAATTTTCGCAAACTAATCATTTTCTTTCCTAAAACGTTCGATTAGGTTTAGTGATATACTCGAAGTTTAGAAATCATAGATAAGAAAGTCAACACAGCAGAATATAAAATCATTTTAATATCTTTAGATTGAATTTGTTAAGGGTCTACGGTAATTGCTAGTTAAGGAACAAATAGGCCTAAGAGATTTATGATGAACTCGATAGAATCTCGACCGGCACACAATATTGTGACAATAATACCCAATAATGGAACCCAGGAAGATTAGTGTTGGAGACGGTTGGGAGAAAATTAGGGACAGCCAAACCAAAACGTGGCATTAGTGCTCGAAGTCACTAACTTTTAGTCTGAGCCATACTGGTAGATGCAGACTACTTGGTTGGGGTGCGCGTGAGTATCACAACCAATGGTTGGAAACTAGGTGACATGGCCTAGAACCGATTACAATGGAGTAGGTGTATACACTTTGTCTTCCTTTAAACTATGAGATTAAAATCGTTTCATATCTTTCTTTCTACGAACTAATTCTTTCTTCCGGTACTATGTCCTCATATGCAATCTTTGTTTTATGTATTACCACTATTGAAGTGACTACTTCTATGAATTTGGTGTTCATCTTGTTGTGCTACTGATGTATGGCAACGTGGACCGATGCATATATGTGCCTGTTCCTACGTTGTAGCTGACTGACTGACCGAATGACAGGTTACACTTTTAGCATTCAAATAAGGGAACTATTTGGAGGTAAGTAAATTATTGACTTTCGAAAAGTATGGTGGTGTAATGATATAATGACAACTGAATTAGCTATGTATGTTTGGATACCTCGTGTTTTGTGTATGTTGTTGTACGTAAAATAATATTGATAACAACCCGCCCTGAGAAGTTTGTGCATTAATTCTGTCATATATATATATATATATATATTTCTAACAAATATCGAAGCAGACTACTTGTTGTGTTTTTTTTAACTGGTCAAACAACTGGATTTGAATATGTTAGTCAACGTACCTCAAAATCAAAAGACCTTTGAGCACCCGTCCCACGGGAAAATTGTACAGCTACTATTTCATCGAAACGTATAGAAATTGGGGGACGAGGAACGAATGTAAAGCCTCTCTCTAATGGATACAACAAACCAACAGACGCTTTATAACTGCATGCAACTGCGCAACCACCGCCTTTTGCAGAGAAGCTTCCTGGGACTGTAACTTTCTGATCAAATAGAACCTGTGTATAATGATATAATCAAAAGAAAAAAACATGAGGTAAAACGCTAAGATAGAAAGCTACGACTCAAAAATATGTGTACTATATGTGACGTGTATCAAACATTCCACCAAACTTCGTAAAACTGTTAACTTTATACATCATTGTTTTACATTTTTAACGCTAACAAATGGTTTTCTGAATTAATATGAGGCCCACTCCAATATTGGGCTAACTGATAATATAATCACTTACTATTAACTGTAACTGTTTGGAACTGAGTCACCGGTTCTCTATATAGCACCACATTCTACATTTGACTTAATTATCATCTAGTTCCTTCCTATTGAGTCTGAGATGTGCCGATTTCAAAGACTATAATAACGGAACTTTAGGTGAAATCAGTCAACTGTTTAAAAAGTTAGCAGAAAAGCAGGGGAACAATTCAGTAAAACTACATGACGAAAAGTGGGGAAAACCAAACCAGAGTAACCACAAACATTCAAGTGCTTAAGAAACTAAGAAATGCTAACAGGTTAATGGAGAGAAATACCCATCCTACTAAATTTGAGTGAAGTAGAATCTAAAGACATAATTTTAAAGTCGATAGTTGAGTTACTACATCATTGCCATTGTTTTCATTTGTTTATTTACAGCGTAAAAATCCTGATAAATAGGGCAGTAAAAAGGTATGGGCCACATAAATAGTGATAATATCGTGAAGAAATAAAGGAAATGTTAGTAAAATCAATATCAATGGTATGAAACAAATTACCATTAATTAAGAGGTATAGTTCAATTAAAAATACAACTAAGAAAGACTTCTTTTATTTAGGGGAATTCCTCATATTTTTATGAACCCAAAAGGAAATTATAGCTGGATCCCAAGTGGATTTTGCACTGAGTAGTGTCTGATAACGTCTCAGGCCACTGAGTTAAATTGTGTTTAGGATCCCAACTAAGAAGTCGTGATGGACTAGCAGACACCAGTCCTGTTTAGCTGCCTCGTACAATAACGCTACCACAAACCAACTACCACTTTGCCTTTGTCAACCAATCTCAGCGTCAACGAATAATATATAATTTGTGAACCGCCGAGATGACATTCATAAACTATTACTAAACTCCCGAAGTTGATGTTTCAAGATGTTAAAATTGATTGAACTACTGACACTTTAGCGAACATACATTGTCGAGTCCTAAGGTCATTAACATGATATTGTCACTGAATGTTAGCAGTCCTTCGGAAACATTGACAACCGCTGCATATTTGCAACTCGGAATTAAATTTCACAAGCATATTAGAACTGTTCTCACTCAACCTTTTACAACTAAAGTAGTATTGTGAAGGTATCAAAGATGGCTCAGATTAGAAATAATCGCTCTGGCTTTACAAAATACATAGTGGTCTCATCTGAAATTCCATTACTAGCACTTATGCAAACTATTTTACTATTACTAACGGTTGGCTACAGTTATTGAACGTATACACAAGCACTTGGCATTCTTGGAGCGGTACCTTGAACTTCAAAGGGGCGAGGTACATGATTTACTTGCGGAAATTAATTGTCAACTGGTCAAGTTCGATCTGGATAGCCTTAGTACCACCGCACAGTAAGCCACTGTCATTATTTACTTTTTCCACAGGTAAATAAAGAATTTCATTGATGGAACAGTTAAGGAAAAATGGTGAGATTAGGCAACCCTTTCTAACCCCACTGTTGCAATAGAAAAATGGAAAGTTGGTTATATGTCCTTGATTTCCCTGTGGTGTTTAGTACAGACCCTTTAGGAGTTATCAAACTACTTAATCACAACATTCTCTAGCATACAATCCAAGGGCACAGTCGTCTCACTGAACAGAGCTAGGTTAAGATTGATCTAAAGTACTATTAGTGACATCATGGAGAAGGGAATTAAGGGCGAGGAAGGATGGGAGGTAGGACGTGTAGTTTTTGCACACAGAGATCGAGCTTGAACTGGTGGGTCGCCAAAGCCTTGACAGTGTATGCGTTTTGATTCGAACTTCCTGTGATTCAGTTCTTTTGACTATATAGATTACATTAAAGGACGGCTCCTGTGAAGCAACGTGTCCAGAGTTAGTTAGGTGATGCTGCATTGGACTCCCCTTTTAAGTCACATCTGGAAAGTGATTGCTTTGTGCGACCAATGTAACCTGCCTCACAAGAGCATAGATACACATCGATGTGGCCAGAAGCGGAGGATTAGCTTTAAAACATCCTTAAATGATAGTTCGGCTTGAAAAGACTACACAAGGCCTAGCTGGATAGGCTTTATTCATGAGTTTTGAAATCCGTTTACTTAAGATTTTGGCGACTGTATTTCCTTTGAACTCGACATTCGCAGTTTTATCTTGAACAATCAGTGCTTATCCGGGATCCAATCTGTGTCAACGGATTCGGGTGGATAGCCATTCTTCATGAGTAGCAATCGAAGTTGAAGCAGTTCGTCATCTAATGTCTCATAAGGACATATTCGGCTAATCCACGAGTATAAAGGCTTTTCCCAGCAAAGAATTCAGTACGAAGGAACTTGGGTTGATTTTACGCAAATTGATATAAATTTCAAATCCTCACATAAATTCTCGCTACCTAAGTGTTTTAATTCATAATCATGTACTCCAGATACCTAAGAAAAGTAGTAAACATATTCAAGAACTGTTAGTTTAAGAATATTTTCAAGCAGAACATAATAATGCTACGGGACTTTCCGATAGCAGTGAAAGAGATTTCTAGAAGTTGAGAACATCGAGGCAAACTCACCTTGAATACGCGAGCTACAACTTCATATTCAGGTCCTGAAATATTTCGAGTTAATTTTCCATTGAACTGCTCCTGAAGCCATTCTTCTGTCGCAGCCATTTCTAAGTTTATGTGCGAATCCTTGTCGAAAAGGGAAATCACAAAATGATATCTGGTTTGACCATGTTTGATCGGTGGATCAAGTTGAACTGCAAAGAATATCTGCCGATTATCGGGATGAGGAAGCACCATCAACCGAGTAATAGTATTCTTTGGGACTTTAAAGTCGTAAGACTTGCCATGCAAATGGATAAAACTTGGATATAGTTTAACATCATAACGGCCACGAGGTTGAAGACACTGCAACTGTTTGAATTCGACCAAGAAATCTCCCGTAACCTTAACTGTCGTGATAAAGTGAATAATTAGCTTACCTGAATAATATCTGCCTTTTGAGTAACCTTGGAATATATAGAAGGTGCTTTGCCTTCCCTATCAGCTTCAGTTCCCGGAGTGTACAGACGCATTTCAGATAAGCAAACTTCAGCTTCATCATTTAGGTGAAATTCAAAAATAATCTCGTTTTTGTTCAAAACAGCATTTGCAACATTGCTTAGAGGAACCTCAAAAGCCATGGCGTTTTTGACTGAAAACTCGAGAACATCGCCTTAATCAGTAGATAATGCAAGTTTGAATTACCATCGAAATCCACGTCTCCCCAATTGTAGCCTTTGTAGCACAGTTCACGCTTTACAATTTCGACGTCGAAATACTTCTTGAAAAAACTCCCGACCTTTTCCGCTTCGATTTCACCAAAGCCATCATACCGATGCAGAGAGTTATTTTTTAACTTTATGCTTAATCCTAAACCAGTCGCACGGACTATCCATTGGGCTGACTCGATATCTGACCGGGAGAAGTGATCCACCTTTCCAGTCTTTTCGTTTTTATACATAAACTCATCTTCTTTGAGTCGAAGCTTACCCGGATATACAGTACCCCTAACCTCCTGGGTTATATGATCGAAGGCTATATCCGCCATCTGTTTGAAATAGATGACCTTGAGAAGAATAAGCCTCCACTTCAGTACACCTCAGACAATAGAACAATAAAAGTCTGAAGCATATCTATTTTATACTGGAAAAAAGACTCGTTGTTTGTATCTGATACACGAAGTGTGGCCTCGCATACGCATATGCTAAACTGTTCTTCTTGTAAGTTTCAAACTGACTCATGAATAGCCCAAAACCCCATATTTATTTGGTGATAACAGCCTTAGAGCAATCTTTTGTTTTGGTCTTTCTTAAGTATGACTTAACTCTTTTTATATAGTTATCTTATGTGACATCTCTCCACTTTGTTATGCAGTTATGTTAACCAACACGACCAATTTGATTTAATATAATTTTATTAGAACTTACTTACTGTGACCTATACTGACCTTATACTGGTTCTTTATTCTCATATTCTGCAGAAAACATCTCATCAGTCATACCTTAAGTGAGTCATCACATTTTCATGTAAACCATTGGTAACAGAAAAGATTTTGTAACTTAAGGTTGTTGACTTATTCAGAATAACAAAGGAAAAGTGCCCGTAATTCGCCCTTGTGTGACTCTTTTCTGAACATCTTCCTATGAGGATAGTGTTATTCACTTACATGCAATATAATGTTATGTATTTCTGCCATAACAGGTACACGACATTTTTGCAGACATGATCTATAACTTACAACATTGTTCTGCATACAGTGTGTTTCTTAAGTAAGATTGTAAATAAATGAAATCAGTGATGTGGCAGAAAGTTAATGACTAGGTAATGTTTTAGGATTGCACTACAACTGCAGTTCTATATTATTTTTCCAACATGGCATCGCGTTCACGTTACACATCAGGTCCGAACTCAGCATTATTGTGTTAGAATTCTTGTCCTGATATGTATTTATGCCATAAAAGTGTTTAAGATGTTTTTAGTTGTTATGATGCACATTTATGGGGTACTTGGTGTGAGTTTTAGTTTTGAAAAACGCGTACAATAAGTTTGTTTCTGTTGGGATATTCAGGAAAGTATCCCAAAAATTATCCTGTTAGGCCTAATGCTATACTCGGACATGGAGTGGTATAATCTTATTGGTCAATATTTATTTAACGTGTCATTTTCCTACTGCTTAATATTGTACAATGTTATTTTCTATTTTATGGTACGTTGTGGTCTGCTTGACTGGTATATAAACAAAGTATGTTTGAAATATAATGATTCACATATCCGAGGCTGAGATTTGCGTTCTGGACTCAACTGCTGGGCTAGACAGGGAAGCGGGGTCAATCAGAACCCTAGGTCGTTCCACGTGCTTGTGTGTCTTTGGTCCGATCGATAATTCGCTTCCCTCAAATCTGCCGTCTCACAGTTATAGCAGTTTCACTCATAAGAAGCTCCATTGCAATGCACTGAATTTGATGCTAACCTTTTTTATCAACAAACCTGGAAACGGACTGAAACTCTCATTCAATGTTTACCACGGGAAACTTGTTTTACCACAAATAATGTTGACATTGCGCTTCCCAATCTCTACCACAACCTGATATATTGCCTTGACTGAACTGCTCCAGTTATTGGCCCTGTGGCTTATAATGTTATTAGGAGCCAGAATACTTTTAAAAGAAAGCTGAGTGAATTAAAACGCCGCTACTACGAGCACAATGACGTGTATGCACTTCAAAGTATACTCAAATTATTCGACAGAAATGCTTAATCTAAACGCAAGTATTTTATGGGTATAGAAAATAAAGCCCTATGTAGTAAAATCCCAGAATTATCAGCACTTCAGCTTTATAAATCCCGTGTGAAGTCAAATTCTCTTGGCACAACTAAATTCTTCATAATTAACGGAAGCATTGTTGACGACCCTGATATTATTTGCCAACAATTTAGCAAGCACTTCCCTCAATGCTAGTTCTTTTTTATTTACTGAACATCAATTTGCATTCTTTCTGATATATGTAATAGTCCTATCATCTAACTTCAAACACCAGCTCATTGACATAGAAGTAATAAATTCCATGTCTCTTCTACTTAATAATTTGTTTCTGCTGGCGTATTTTGTTTCGAAACACACACTTTATACCATGTTGCCATGCATTAACGTTTTCGGTTTTCTACCAACGATCTATTAGCTTCAACTACCTGACATAACGGTCCTGGGTACCTGCAGAATTTGTGCTTCCTAACACGGTGTGGAACATGGAGCTCAGAGGCAAGACAATTGCAATCCAACCACTACCTTGAAAAAGCCAAATGTCGAAAAGAAGGGACAATGGGGTTACTGACCAATAAACGTATATGGCGGGTGCAATGATTTCAATTTACCCATATTTGTGGGGCACAATTTATTGGTTTCCTGCAATCCTTTTTGACTGGCGAACTGTCAGGTATTAATTGATATTGAGGCCGTTATACGATTTTTGTTGCTTCTTAGACTCTTTTTTCTATCTTGGGTTGGTTTCTCAGATTTTATCAAGTTTTAAATTATATATCCATTTCAGACGCCTAAGCACAGCCCAAATGGTTGTCGTTCGATAAAGCTATAAATCAATCAAAAAACGAGAAAGAAATAAAGGATGTCGTGATGAGGTTTTATGGTAATATAAATAACTGAGGCTTACAAATGCATTGCGTCCAGTTAAACCTGTTTCAAGTCGACCGCAATCAACTTGACTTAAGATATAGTACGCATGTCTTCCTACTTCGTGACTCACATCGACGACCTAGTGAATCAATGTACGAAGGACCCTTCATAGTTCTTCAACGCGAACCCAAAGGCTATGTTGTCGATAAAAACGGAACGAGCGATAGCAACCGCATCAATCACCGCAAAGCAGAGTGTTTAGAAAGAAATCCTATTCACGTATATTTTTTTTTGGTACAATCGAATGATACGGTTCCTACACTTATAGTACCTAATTCGACAGCCAACACGCACGATGATACTTTGACAGTATCAGAAAATAAACTAAAAACGACGCGTTCTGGAAGAGGAGTAAGAATTCCAGAACATTTGTACGTTTGTTGCACGTGAGATACTAGTTGACACCTTATATCACCTCGATTTTGCTTTGTATTATATATAAAATTTAAAAAAATTAATACACTTATATATTGATGTTTTACTCCCCCCCCCAAAGAAAAGAAAAAAGCCGTTAAAATATCATTCTTTACGCTAACACATGTGGAAGAGTTTACTTTAATTTTTTCGCCCTCTTTGTGTTTTGATGCACTTACATATTTTCTTCTTTTCCAGTACGGCCGGAAAAAACAAAAAAGAACGACGAAGTTTACGAGGAACTGAAAATTTCATTATAGTTCCCTTATAGTAAGGAAAGACGACTAGAGGCTGCTAAACACAGCAAGCCGTCCAGTACTTTCAGGTTTCTCATGGTGGTCTGTCTTCATTTGACTGATGATTTAAACCACTGAAATTTCGGAAGATTGTTTGCCAGCGACAAAGTCGTTGGGTTTAAGCTTCTGGTTGGCACGTCTTAGGGCCATCATTACTCCGCTAGGAGGGGAGTGATCAGTAGCGGTATATAATTTTTAAAAATAAATGGCTCTGAAAGTCTCCGAAATTGGATGCTTACCATATTATTTTTAATTGACTCACCTAGCTGAAGGACCTCGGTCATGCATCCGCACCAGATCACGAGTGAAAACGCCGTATTCAACATCCTTAGCGATCGCTAGCCAGATAAGATCAGTCGATCCTCGATATACTGATAGCCTATCAAATATATCTTCGAACATTCTTGCTTCTGTCTTTTGATTTCACTTGGTGGGTACGATTTATTTAGGGTGTTACTGGTCAAAGCGTTTTCAAACTCCAAATACCTGTGGCTTTTTCATCCCCAATACAATGCATCACATGAAAGTTTAGGCTCGAACAATACCTAAGCCAAATTAAGCTCTTAATGAGCAAGCTACCCCGCGTAATGTCTAGTAGAAGTTAATAATTGTGAGCTTTGTAGGACAGTAGAAGTGAATTTTGAAATTACAAAGGAAAGATGGTATATAGATCATACCGTGAACCCATTAACGAAAAAAACCTGATGGTGGGAAATACGCTCAAAACGGCTCTGGTCTAAAACACTTTACGGTGAGGAATATAGTCCGCTTGATCGTGCCAGAAATCGACCGATAGAAATGAAGGAAATTTTACTGAACCGGGCTAACTACACCCAAAAACACTGAGACAATTTGCACAGTGTATTGCTACCTTATTGAATACGATATACAACACGTCACTAGGACGAGGTTGGTCACCTACCAACTGGAAGGATGCAGTCGTCACTCCACTACATAAACCAGGAACGTGAAAACCTCCATCAACTTACACAACTGTCAGTCTTACCAGTAAAGAGAATAATCAAAAAGACAATAACGACATTTGTGGTAACCAACGACTGATTAAACAGCGAAAAACATGGTTTCAAAAAAGGCTTATCTTGGTGATGATTTTGAACCTGATATATTATCTCTTTTTCCTGCCACAGAAACAAAACGTCTTCGAAAACATGACAGTCTGGCACAAAAGCATAGAACAAACTGAATACATGTGACGTACAGGTTTTCATACCAAGTCATTAACTCTTGGAACTTGTTACCCGATAAAGTGTTATCTGCAGTTTCAATTCGATCATTCAAGAGAATTAAAAATACTCAGAAATCTACTGGGAAATGACTAACATAAGCTATAGGTATTTTGTCCTCGGAACTCAAATCTGAATTCGAAATCTGAAGTTGTATACTTTGGCGCTCGTTTCAACAAGGGCAGTGATTTTTGTACTTACCATGATTATACATGCTTTGTGTACTTGTTGCACCAAAAAGCATTATTGGTCTACTTTCACTAAATGTACTTTGGTTAGGGTTAGGGCTTTGAGCCTATTGGCTTTGGTCTTTAATAAAAGCGATGGCGGTTGCACTGATAACACGGTATCGAAAAAATTCCACTACGTGTCAAGACAGATATCTGAGACGTCAGTCACTTTTTATAAGTTAAGAGAATCTTCCGATAAGGAACCAAAAGCTA